CCTCCGGTAAAATAAGAACAGCCCCGACGTTCAACCCCCCTTTTTTACCATTAGCAAGAACCTGTTTCAGTTGCATATCATAAGGAATTCGAACAACTGCTTCAAATACAGTATCAGGAAGTACCGCTTGTGGAACCTCAATTTCCACGGGCTTATTAGCTAAATGGCAATTGGCACATACAATACGCCCAGTCGCTTCTCGTGGATTTTCATAACCCTGCTGTGCAAAAATGGGATATGCACTTGAAATGGACGTCCGAGTTAAGATATATATCATGAGCGATACGGAAATAGATCGAGTAATCTGTTTCTTTAGCCAAGAAAAAGCATTTCTAGTTTGCATGGTCCAATCATTGATCGCGAAAATTTCTACAATAAATTGGGTAGGTCGCTAGTATAGTTCCCTAGCCACGATTCTGCTATTTGCTGGAATAATCTAGGATGAATCTTCCCGATGGTTAGAAATAGGAAGAGTAAATATGATTTTCAATACTTTGCTTATGTACAACTACAAAGTACCAAGCATTCTAATTGGATTAGATTAATATCAATGGATCCTTTATCATTCAGTTATTGAATCATAAATCAGTAAAATTGACGGAGACAGACTAGTTAAATAACGGAAAAGCCAATATTTAAAACATGTATCAAAAATTACTGGAAGGATGCAAACAAGAATAGTTATAGTTTGCTCATTCGCAACAACTCCAACCTCGTTATAGATAGAGCGTATAGCGAATTCCCAACCTGGGGGTGAATGATATCCGAGAAAAAACTCAGTTACTAGAAGAAGACACAAAGCTTTTGCTGTGTCACTTAAGTTATATAGGAATTCCTGAGCCCAAGAGTTAAGAATAACAAGTTTTTCCTTACCCAAAATTGAATACCCGCTTAGAATACCAAACCAGATGATATTTGTTGAGAAGTGCAAAATCGTATCCATACGATTCTCATTTTGTATCGTGATTAATTGGATCGTTTCTTTATGGATTCCTATCCCAAACTCTTCGAGATGTGTTTCCGAGTATTCCTTGATCATTTCGTCCAAGAAGAGGAGTTCCTCTAATTCTCTGAATTTTTCTAGAAGACTCTTTTCTTGAATATTATTCAAGACAATTTGGGATTGCCCAGTATTCCACCAATTAGTAACCCAAGATTCCAGACATTTATTAACTGAGAAAGAAATCCACCAGGGCAAAAATACTATAGATGCAAGATAGAAAAGAGGAGTGAATGCTTTCTTTTTTGCCATTTTTTCGTCTGTAAATTGTTAATCAACCCATTCGTACACTCTATGCGATCGAATATTTCTTACACACATGAGTTTTATACAAGGTATCGAACTTATGAATCTATTTTCTTTGTGATTTTGTGGTTAGTCTTTGAATCTAGAAAGAATACAGAAATAGGCTAAGAATTCACTTCGAATGAAGAAATTTAGAATATTGTTTCCTGATATCTCAATTGGTCAAATTAAAAATAAAGTGTATCCTTTCGATGAATGATCGAAAGAACCACTTTAAGTAATGAATATTATTCAGATTTTGAGACGAAAGAACTCCTTTGCTATCAAAATATCCAATATTTCGAAAAAATTTCACTGATTACCCATAGTCAGGAATAGAATAATTGAGGGAAAGATATTAGGATGATCAAAAAAAAATGACTGGCAAGGGATAAATTGGCTAGTTCTCAGTATTTAATTAAGAAATCCAATTGTTGGTCATTAAAGAATACAAAAGAAAGAATTTCAAATTTACAAGATACGATCTATCTGGATCTAAAGTGTCAATTCCAACAAATATTGAACTAAAAAAAATTCTTGCTTTCGAAATGGTTTGCCGTCTGAGATGAATCTATTATTTCGATTTGTTATTTGTTATTGAATTGCGTGCGCATAAAGACCATAAAACGCATAAAGACCATAAAAAGAGTTTCGTTTTATGGTTCTTTCATATACGTTTTCTTTAATTGAATGAACGTTCTGATTCTCAATTTATCAAAATACTTCAATTGGTACACGCAAGAAATAGGCTAATTCAGCAGCCTTTTGTTCAATTTCTCGTGGAGTCAAATTCTCATCAGTACGGGTCAAGGGAATGGACCCCTGGCCTCGGATGTCCATATAAAGAACACGACGAGCATAAATACCCTCTTTAACTTCTATTCTAACGGACTGAATATCTTTTATAAGGAATCGGAGGAATATGCGACGATTTTTTCCCGGAAATCCCCAACGAAAAATACAGACTATTCCTTCCTTTCTATCGAATCGATCATAACCACTACCTACATTCCAGGAAATTGTGCACCACAAATAAGAGCTAATAAAGAGACCCGCAATTCCGTAGAAAGACATCACGATTCCTTGTGGAAAAAAAATGATTTGCTGAGGCGGAAAAAAAGATAGCAAATTTCTACCAAGATAACTGGAAGTTCCAACTAATAAGAAGCCTAATGAACCTAAAAAAAGGATCAAGGCCCAGCAGAAATTACTTATTTTTCGAGACCCCGTTATAAGTTCTATCCATATATCGTCTGATCGCCAAGTCATACTTTACTCGATTGCATTTTATTGGAATTGAGATAATACCCCAGAGAAATTTGACTTTACTTTTTTGTTTCCGAAGTAACTCTCATCAACTAGCACTAGTTTGAGGTGAACTAGCACTAGTTTGATGTCAACCTTTAGGAGTAATTCATCAAATTGGTTAAATCTAAAATAATAACATACTCTTTATTTAATACGATCCCACTATACATATCGATATACATATAGATTCACCGACTACATTTCAGCCATCCAGAGATCCTGATCTATTTGAAAATTGCTAGAATTGATATATCCATATATCATGTTTCTGCGGGCATAAGAGTTTTTTCCTTTATGTTCGGTGGAAATCACATGTTATACTATATTCCAATAAATAGATATCCGTGTTATGATACAAGTCCACGTTTTCAAAAAAAAAATGGATGAGATTGGGTCCCAGCGGATCTAAACAATCTTGTTTTTTTGAACATGAAGAAATAAAGAAGCCATTGCAATTGCCGGAAAGACTAGGCCTACTAACGGCACAAAAATAGATGGAAGGTTCAAATTTGTCATAGAAGGGGTACCTCGATTTACTATTTGTATCTGTTATTATGTTATTATATAAATAAAGATATCTTGTAATAATTATAATTAAATTAAGAATTTGAATTCTAATTAGATAATATTTATTATTAATAGAATTTGAAGAATTTAAAATTCTTAGTATAGATCGAAGTATCGATATATCTAAATCTAACTGAGTACGTATAATAAGAATAAGTGCAAAGAATGTAGAACTGTAGAACTAAATAAATGGACTTATTCATCTCCTCCATGAGAAAGATATGTATGATAATGATAATAAACTTTATTATTTTTCTTCATTTCTTTGTCTTTTGTTCTTGTCTTCTAATTTTCTAAAAATAGATAAAGAGTTTTTTACCGATTATCGAAGGATTCGTTCGAATCCGACCCAACATGGATTTTTAGCTAAAATGGTTTTTCGGTAGATAGAGAAAGATACAAAACTCTATTATCTATATTGAAATTTCAAATTATATACCTAAGACAAGACCAAATTCGTTTTATTTTACTAATTTCACGAACGGAAGAACTCACTCTTGGTGATAAAGTGATAAAGGTTTCTTGATTCGTAATCAGGAATATAGGTCAAAAAAAGAGTTATCCTCAACTTTCGTTTTGATTCTTTCTACAATTCGATCTTCTATCACCAAAGAAAAGGCCATTATTATCTTATTTACTTTGATTCCGATAAACTAACTACTTTTTGCTACAAACACAAAAAAAATAATTGAACTTAGTGCTCTACTTGATTTTGCTTGACTTTTGATTCAAAGGAAAAAAGGCGTGGAGCTTAAATAACTCACTCAGAACGCTTTTTAAAAGATTACGTGGTACAATTAGGTCGAATAAACCCTTCTGGAATAAGTATTCAGCTGCTTGTGAACCTTCGGGTACTGTTTTATTCAATGTTTGTTCAATTACTCTTTTACCTGCAAATGCAATGTAGGCATTGGGTTCGGCAATAATGATATCCCCCAACATACCAAAACTAGCTGTCACTCCACCAGTTGTCGGAGATGTAAGGATTGATACATAAAATAATTTTTTATTTAATTGATAATCATATAAAGCAGACGATATTTTAGCCATTTGCATCAAGCTCAAACTTCCTTCCTGCATGCGCGCCCCCCCAGAAGCACACACTATAATAAGAGGTAAATTTTGATTGGCAGCGTGTTCAATCAAACGGGTGATTTTCTCTCCGACTACGGATCCCATACTACCCCCCATAAACTGAAAATCCATAACCCCAATTGCTACGGGAATGCCGTTTAGTTGGCCTATGCCTGTTTGAACAGCCTCGGTTAATCCTGTCTTTCTTTGATAAGAATCAATACGATCTTTATAAGGCTCCTCCTCCGAATGAAATTCAATGGGATCCAGCGAGACCATGTCTTCATCCATAGGATCCCAAGTACCCGGATCGATCAAAAGTTCAATTCTATCCGAACTACTCATTTTCAAATGATATCCACATTGTTCACAAATATTCATTTTTGATTTCAAAAATTTCTTATAATTTAATCCATAACAATTTTCGCATTGAACCCACAAATGCTTGTATTTTTGAGTTACCTCGAGATCATTAGAACTTTCTCTTATAGTTAAATCACTGCCCTTTGTGCGAGTTCGTCTACTGGAACCCTCGTTTTCACTACTATTTAGACTTTCACCACTACAAATGGCCCTATAAATGTAACTGTCACCGTAACTCTCACTACCACTTATAATGGAAGTATCTATACAGATTTGAGACTGAAGATAATTATCAATGCAACTATTAATGTGATTATTCCAACTATATTGAGTATCATACATGTAAGACATGTAAGAATTATAGTAGGGATCTTCGCCCCTAAATCCATTATTCAGATAACTCGAGTTTCGATAACTAGAAAAAGAACTTTCTAGTTCACTCAGAAAAGAATGATCGTTGTCAACCTCAAAAATCTGATTTTCAATATCAAAATAGATGGAATAACTGTCTCCATTCCTATCACTAACTAAAAAAGTGTCATCAGAGATGAAATTCCAAATGTCTTTAACGCCGAATAAATAATCAACATTACTGCAACTATGAATGTTTTTCATTTTTCGATTTGGATCTTCACTGGTATTTTCAATAGGACCAAGACTGCCCATTGATTTATTTAGCCCACACCTGCGTTCGAACTCCTTCTTAAACAACATCGAATTAAACCACCATCTTTCCATAGAGTTTTCTTGCCCCCTATTTGCATGAAAATACAATAGATGAATAGTCATTCGCTATAAAATTATTTATTTGAATATCTTATTTCCTATCAGACTAAGCATAGAAATCCAATCACTAGGATTATTAACTAATACGGATTGTGAGTATTCAAAAAAAGTTCTGAATCTGGGGGAACACTTCACTATATATTAATATGTTGGAACCCCCTTTTATTATTAAAAATAATAGAATTTTTGATAAAGGGCGGCTTCTCCTATGTCGTGTCAAATTCGCATCGAAAAAAAGAGATTTGTCCTCTCCTATAAAGAAATAAAAAAAAATTCGTAAAATCTCGTCTAATACTAATATCTAATCACTAACTAATCTAACAATCTAAAATCTAATAATAAGTAATAAATTAAGGTTCTATTTCAACACGGAACAAAGGGGACAATATACAGGCTGGGTAGAAAGAGTTGTAATACTTGGCTTGATTCAGGGAAACTACAAACTACAGGATAGAAAAGAATATACCAATCCTAAGGATCCGTAGGATTAATTGTGGATCCAAGACAACAATAGAAAGATTTGAGTCTTAGATTTTGATTTAGTTTTCTAGATTTTGTATTTCAAATCTTGATCAAAATATATGCAATAGAATCTTAGTTGTATTCGGCTCAATCCTTTTAGTAAAAGATTGGGCCGAGTTTAATTGTAATGTAATTCAATTAAGAGAACGAAGGATAATTACTTGAGTTCTTTCTCCTTATCCTTCTTTATTTCCTGCTAATTTATCTGCTAATGTCTACTGTTTTTACTTATCCAAAACGTCCATTGCTGCAAAATTAAATACGATCTCTTTCCATACCTCACAAGCAGCAGCTAGTTCCGGGCTCCATTTGGCAGCCTCGCGAATAATCTCATTACCTTCCCGAGCAAGATCACGTCCTTCATTACGAGCTTTTACACATGCTTCTAGAGCTACTCGATTAGCTACGGCACCTGGCGCATTACCCCAAGGATGTCCTAAAGTTCCTCCACCGAACTGTAGTACGGAATCATCCCCAAAGATCTCGGTCAGAGCAGGCATATGCCAAACGTGAATACCTCCTGAAGCCACAGGTAGAACACCTGGTAAAGAGACCCAATCTTGAGTGAAATAAATACCGCGACTTCTATCTTGTTCAATAAAATCATCACGCAGTAAATCAACAAAGCCCAAAGTTATGTCTCTTTCACCTTCAAGTTTACCTACTACGGTACCAGAGTGAATATGATCTCCACCAGACATACGTAACGCTTTTGCTAATACCCGGAAGTGCATACCATGATTCTTCTGTCTATCAATAACCGCATGCATTGCACGGTGGATGTGAAGAAGTAGACCATTATCTCGGCAATAATGAGCCAAGGTAGTATTTGCGGTGAATCCCCCCGTTAAGTAGTCATGCATTACGATCGGAGTGCCCAATTCTCTAGCAAATACAGCTCTTTTCATCATTTCTTCGCATGTACCTGCAGTAGCATTCAAGTAATGCCCTTTGATTTCACCTGTTTCAGCCTGTGCTTTAAAAAGTGCTTCGGCACAAAATAAGAAACGATCTCTCCAACGCATAAATGGTTGTGAGTTCACGTTCTCATCATCTTTGGTAAAATCAAGTCCACCGCGAAGACATTCATAAACAGCTCTACCGTAGTTTTTTGCAGATAACCCCAATTTAGGTTTAATAGTACATCCCAACAGGGGACGACCATACTTGTTCAATTTATCTCTTTCAACTTGGATCCCATGAGGCGGACCTTGGAAAGTTTTAACATAAGCAACAGGGATTCGCAGATCTTCCAGACGTAGAGCGCGCAGGGCTTTGAACCCAAATACGTTACCTACAATGGAAGTAAGCATATTGGTAACGGAACCTTCTTCAAAAAGGTCTAAAGGGTAAGCTACATAAGCAATATATTGATCTTTTTCTCCAACAACACGCTCGATGCGGTAGCATCGCCCTTTGTAACGATCAAGACTGGTAAGTCCATCGGTCCATACAGTTGTCCATGTACCAGTAGAAGATTCGGCAGCTACCGCGGCCCCTGCTTCTTCAGGTGGAACTCCAGGTTGAGGAGTTACTCGGAATGCTGCCAATATATCAGTATCCTTGGTTTGGTACTCAGGAGTATAATAAGTCAATTTGTACTCTTTAACACCAGCTTTGAATCCAACACTTGCTTTAGTCTCTGTTTGTGGTGACATAAATCCCTCCCTACAACTCATGAATTAAGAATTCTCACAACAGCAAGGTCTACTCGACATGAATTCCGCGTTAATGAAACTTTTCACAGGAATCTTTCACAAAATTTCCAACTAATACTAATATTATCAATTAATCAGAATGGTTGATTATTAGACCATGGTATTTGATTTGCCAAATACATCATTATTGTATACTCTTTCATATATATAGCGCAACCCAATTTTGATTTTTTACCTTTTTTTTTTTTGAAATGGAAATACCTAGCTAACCTAAATAATAAGAACTTCCCCCTTGACAGTGGTATATGTTGTATATGTAAATCCTAGATGTGAAAATATATGGAATTCCTCTATGAATCTATGAAAGGTATAAAAAAGAAAGAAAAACGCAAAGAAAAGAATAGGCTAGGCATAAATCGATATGCTGAAATTTAAATAAAAAATAAATAAGAAGAGGAGCCCATTAGATACAAATAATGAATCGTAATAGAAATAGAAAATAAAGTTCAGGTTCGAATTCCATAGAATCGATAATATGGGTGGGCTTGTCTATAATGATAGACAAATGAAAGAATTTCTCAAGATTCTGATTCATCCACTTGAGATTTTTAAATGAAAATAGGTTGGGTGAGCTTCCAAATTAACTCAGTCTCATTGAATAAGTAAACAATTGGATTGGTTCAATTGCATGGTGCCAACGAAATCGAGTGCTAATTCCGATTTTTTTGAATTAACCGATCGACGTGCTAGCGGACATTTATTTTGAATTCGATAATTTTTGAAAAAACATTTCGACATATTTATTTTATTATTATGAGAATCAATCCTACTACTTCTGGTTCTGGGGTTTCCACGCTTGAAAAAAAAAACCCGGGGCGTGTCGTCCAAATCATCGGTCCGGTACTAGATGTAGCCTTTCCCCCGGGCAAGATGCCAAATATTTATAACGCTCTGGTAGTTCAAGGTCGAGATAGTGTTGGTCAACCAATTAATGTGGCTTGTGAGGTACAGCAATTATTAGGAAATAATCGAGTTAGGGCTGTAGCTATGAGTGCTACAGACGGTCTAACGAGAGGAATGGCAGTGATTGACACAGGAGCTCCTATACGTGTTCCAGTCGGGGGAGCGACTCTGGGACGAATTTTTAACGTGCTCGGAGAGCCTGTTGATAATTTAGGGCCTGTAGATACTAGTACAACGTCTCCTATTCATAGATCTGCGCCCGCCTTTATACAGTTGGATACAAAATTATCTATTTTTGAAACAGGAATTAAAGTAGTAGATCTTTTAGCCCCCTATCGCCGTGGAGGAAAAATCGGACTATTCGGGGGAGCTGGAGTGGGTAAAACAGTACTCATTATGGAATTGATTAACAATATTGCTAAAGCTCACGGGGGCGTATCCGTATTTGGCGGAGTGGGTGAACGTACTCGGGAAGGAAATGATCTTTACATGGAAATGAAAGAATCTGGAGTGATTAATAAAGAAAATATTGCAGAATCAAAAGTGGCCCTAGTTTACGGTCAGATGAATGAACCGCCGGGAGCTCGTATGAGAGTTGGTTTGACTGCCCTAACTATGGCGGAATATTTCCGAGATGTTAATGAGCAAGACGTACTTCTATTTATTGACAATATCTTCCGTTTCGTCCAAGCAGGATCCGAAGTATCGGCCTTATTGGGTAGAATGCCTTCCGCTGTGGGTTATCAACCGACCCTAAGTACCGAAATGGGTTCTTTACAAGAAAGAATTACTTCTACCAAAGACGGGTCCATAACCTCTATTCAAGCAGTTTATGTACCCGCAGACGATTTGACCGACCCTGCTCCTGCTACGACATTTGCACATTTAGATGCTACTACCGTACTATCAAGAGGATTGGCTGCCAAAGGTATTTATCCAGCAGTAGATCCTTTAGATTCAACGTCAACCATGCTTCAACCTCGGATCGTTGGTGAGGAACATTACGAAACCGCCCAAAGAGTTAAGCAAACTTTACAACGTTACAAAGAACTTCAGGACATTATAGCTATCCTTGGATTGGACGAATTATCCGAAGAGGATCGTTTACTCGTAGCAAGAGCGCGAAAAATTGAGCGTTTCTTATCACAACCCTTTTTCGTAGCAGAAGTATTTACCGGTTCTCCAGGGAAATATGTTGGTCTAGCAGAAACAATTCGAGGATTTCAATTGATCCTTTCCGGAGAATTAGATGGTCTTCCTGAACAGGCCTTTTATTTGGTAGGTACTATCGATGAAGCTACCGCGAAGGCTATGAACTTAGAAATGGAGAGCAATTTGAAGAAATGACCTTAAATCTTAGTGTACTGACCCCTAATCGAATTGTTTGGGATTCAGAAGTGGAAGAAATTGTTTTATCTACTAATAGTGGTCAAATTGGCATATTACCAAATCACGCCCCTATTGCCACAGCTGTAGATATAGGGATTTTGAGAATACGCCTTAACGACCAATGGTTAACGATGGCTCTGATGGGTGGTTTTGCTAGAATAGGAAATAATGAGATCACTGTTTTAGTAAATGATGCGGAGAAGGGTAGTGACATTAATCCACAAGAAGCTCAGCAAACTCTTGAAATAGCGGAAGCTAATGTGAAAAAGGCTGAAGGAAGGAGACAAAAAATTGAGGCAAATCTAGCTCTCCGACGAGCTAGAACACGGGTGGAGGCTAGCAATCCGATTTCATAACTAGTTGGTACGTTCGAATAATAAAAAGAAGTTCTCTTTCTAATCCTATTTAGATTCTGTCGGGTGAATACAATCAAATACAATCAAACAGAATCCAATTCTGATGCAAAAATTCAAATTAAAAAATGAAATAGAAAAGATACAAAATCAAAAAATAAATATCACTAAAGGTGGGTTGTAAACCTTATTAGATACCATTGACTCTGGTATCTAATAAGTTT